ATACTTTCCCTAAAATAAAGAATAAATTGCGTGGACAGAGATTTTCATCACCTGAAGAAGCTGTGGACGCCTACAAAACGGCCATTTTGGAGACCCCAACTTCCGAATGGAATGGTTGCTTCAATGATTGGTTCCATCGTATGGAAAAATGTGTCAAATTTCGCGGAGAATACTTCTAAAAGCAATAAATACATTTTTAAACAGTAATGTTGTGTTACTTCCTTGATTCCCGAAATTTTCAGTGCCGCCCTCGTACCGCAAGGTTTTGCGCAAAATCATACTTTGTGGTGTCCTCTCTAGTACGTTAGTACATAATATCTCAATGGTGGACAATAAGAATTTAATAAATAATAATAATAATAAAACATTTTTATTAATAAATACCGTTGAAAGTACTGGAATGTTTTATTGCTTATAATAATACTAGCTTACATTAGCCTACTGTAGCATAAAGCAGTCTTCACATACAAGGAAGGAACGAACATTAATCACAACACTTGCTTAGTGCATGTTCGTCATTTCAAATTATAATATTCAGTATCCCTCACTATGCTTTCTTTCACCGAGTCAGTAATGTCTCAAGTTGTTTAACATGAATATCTTTGCAAAATATTGCTTTACATACCATATCAGCGTATTTATAAAAATGATTTATCGTGAAACGACTGTGTTTTCCTAAAATATGTTAGATTTGAATTTTTGTAAAAGAAACGATAGAGACGCTCTCTTATTTTTTACGTGGTAGAGCCATGCTGCAGTTATATTAGTAGTATAGTTGTAGCACGAATGGGTCGGCTCGACCGGGGAAGGACCACGCTCTCACAGAATACCAGCGTGAAATAGTAGCTTGATGCTGCTGTATTTCGTATGGTGAGTGTAGAGAACCGGAGACCCTTTTTACTGGAAACGAGGCATTCCATCTTAGTCCTCACGGGTGACAACGCATCTGCATTTTGATTCGTAATCGAGGATAGATGTAGATGTCTATGGGCCACAGCAACCACTTACCATCAGGTGGACTGTGTGCTCGTTTGTCACCCTATCCTATAAAAAAAAATTGAATTTGGCGTATCTCGGTGTGCAACTATTATTATAGCATCTAAAGGACCGAGTGACGTCATCCATAATGCCATCAATGTGACTGCTGTTTGAATTGATTCTAAGTTTTTGAAAAATTTTATTACAACAATTTTAACAATTTTTTTCATGACACCAAACTGACGTAAAAAGTTAATTTTTTGTGTGTGATAGAAGCAAAGAGATTATATATATATAAAATATATTCACGAAGGCACGCTATCCTCACAGCGAACTATCAAAGCTGGTGTCCCTCAGGGCTCAGTACTTGCTCCTCTGCTGTAGATCCTGTTCACCAACGACATTCCCATCCCGTCGAAAGGTGTTCAGCTCTCCCTCTTCGCAGACGACACTGCTATTTACTGCAAAGGTATCTCACTACCCTTCATACGGAACAAGATCCAAAAGTCAGTTGATGACCTAGGAGCTTGGTTCAAAAAATGGCGCATCGATGTGAACCCGGAGAAGAGCTCCGCCGTTCACTTCGATTATAAACGACGCCGTCTCAAAACCACTCCACCAATACGTATGCTAGGGACCCCTGTCCCCTGGCATACGACCGCCAAATATTTAGGTGTCACTCTAGACACAGGGCTCACTTTCAGGCCCCACGTCAAAAGAGTAACCCGTCACGCACGGTTTTATCTGAGTAGGCTCAACAGTATGTTGGGCCGACACAGTAAAATGTCCCTTAGAAACAAGCGTACCCTTTATAAGGTCTGTATACGACCAGTCATGTCCTACGCGGGCCCCGTTTTTGCCCACGCCAACCCTAAAATTATTAATGAACTCCAAATAGTTCAAAACCTTTTCTGTCGTCGAGCTGCGAACGCACCTTGGTACGTCCGTAATGCTGACCTTCATCGGGACCTAGAGCTCCCCACAATTCAACAATTTCTCCAAAAACTCTCTGAGAACTTCTTCAAAGCCTCAGAGTCGCACTCAAACCAATTAATTCGTGAGGCAGCTACTTATGCAGCCCCACCCCCCTCTCGCTATCGAGTCCGCAGGCCGAGAAACTCTCTCTCGGACCCGCCTAATAAACTAACAAACGACCTGAACTGCCTCCTGGCGGCTCAGGCTAACTCTAATTAAATTAAATTATTACTCACTCATAATTAATTTGCCTTCGTAGGCACTCCCTCAGCGGCTCGTAGCCGCCTGCGCCCTCTTTTCCCAAAAGAGGGTCGCTCACGATAAGGCACAATAAAGCTTAATCAGCCAGTTGCCTGTCCCTAAAGGCGGTTTTTAGAGGGTATCACTTAGGTTCCCGGTAGGATGTGAGTCCCTCATAACCACGGTAGACAGGCTATCGTGGTATGCGTAATGCATTTTCCGCCTCCCTACGTATAGGGTAGCCCTTTATTTGCTTCGGGCGCAAAAAAAAAACTATGGAGAGGACATTGGGAACATCTGCATACAAAAACTGTGAACACACGCTTGTGTTAAGCCCTCTAGCGAAAAATAGCAATACTACGCTGAATATTTATTTGGAAAATATTTTAGCTATTTCCCATTAGGTGACGCTTCTAAATATAAGTTAAAAATCGGTTTTAGGCACGTCGTCAATTACTACCATATTTGTAAATAAATAGTGACGTTACTGGATAACAGAGGGCACTTATTATAATATTTTTTTTTCTTCTAGAACAATCTACCAGAAATTATAAAAATTTAAAGATTATTTGGTAAATTTATATTATTCTTAAGATAATAAACCGAAATCATGTTAATTTTTTGCTCCATATCATGACTTATTATATCTTAGTGCGACACGAATGCGTCTTAACCTTTCGGTGATGTCACTTAGACTAAATGACAAAAATCGGAGATATATCCTGTAGGACAAAAGTTACAGACGACAATTTTGTTGTTGATGTCTGGTCTATTATTACTACATACTTAAATGTCTTTGGATAGAAGACATAATAAATAGATTTATACAATAAAACAATCATACATATTCCCTATTATTATATCGTAATGCATTTCAAATTTAGCAATCTTCAACAATATTATCGATACTTTGATGTCGAAACGGGAACATTAAACTAAAAAAATCGATTTTTACCTTAAGTATATTTATTAACGTCACCTAATGGGGAATAGCTAAAATGTTTTCTAAATAATTAGTCGGCGTAGTTTTGGTATGTTTCGCTAGACGCACGAGCGCACAGCTTTTCTGTGCAAATGTTCCCAATGTCCGCTCTAAGTACAACTAGGTACCGGCATAAATGTACATGGACTCATTACACATGATCTTTGTTTTGTCCATGTTTATATTATTTGGTTCTGTTCAGAATATCCACTACCCCATATCATCCTCTGAGTGTCGTAAGAGGTGACAAAGGGAAACTGAAACAGCAGCATCTTCCTGATAACTCAATGACAAAAGAAACTGGGGTTTCCAACCAGCTTGCCAAGCGTGGCAATGTTTGCAATATCCTCCTAAAGACCACAATCTATGGGGGAGGCCTATATTCAACAGTAAACTTTTGTGAGTTAAACAGTCTGTTAATTGTACTACTGTAGAAACACCTCGGCATCTCAATGTACCACAGTTAATGTAGCACTGTTGAGAAGATTAAAGTACTGTCCAAATATCGACTGAATCAGACTTCCATATATGCAAAACGATATAGGAGATTGTATTCTTCGGTCTTCTGTACAATTTGCCGAAGGGTATATTATGTGGTCTATGGTACTAAAACTTTTTTCAGAACTTGTATAGGCTGTAGCTTTCTATTTAAGTTCCTTTGAGTTTAAAGTGTTTTCGTACGCACAATATCACCCGGCGCGTCCAAATTTGAGACGATACACTCGAACTCGTTATATTTTATAGTTGCGGCACGACTGGAGAAAGACCACATTCTCATATCAGCGAACCAGCACTTACAACACTAGTGTATGTACACAGTTGCTGTGTTTCGATAAATTTTATCAGGTGAAACTTAATTTCAGTGAGATAGATGAGATATCAGATCACCTGTGCTGGAGCACCCCAGTGCACCTTCCACTTGACCGCATCCAGCGCAGAGCGGATCGAATCGTCGGCGACCGAGCTCTTTCTGATCGGCTTGGCTCACTGGCGCTGCAGATTTTTCATCTCTTTGCGTATTCTATCGCATCTACCACAGGGCACAGGGAGTGCTCAGAAATTTTGTTCGGACAAATTGCAGCCACTCAATTTCATCATCGCATATCGCGATACCATTTGGATGATTGGCGGTTTACCACTGTGCGATTTACAAGAAGCTTTCTACCTCAAGATCTTTAAGAAGAGTGTACTCTTTTTTAAAAGGCCGGCGATGCAGCTGCAATTCCCATGGTGTTGCAGTTTTTGCTGATACGGCGGTAGTCACCATCAGGTGAGCCGCATATGCTCATTTGCCCATTCTATAAAAAAATCAAGTGTTACTCGTTCGAAGGGCAGCTAGTTATTCATAATAATAAGTACATATATCAAATCGCTTTTATCAGTTGGGTTAGAGTAAATAAGGAAACACAACTACTGATTCCAACAGACTATTCATTTTTATTCCCAATCAATCAATAAAGAACACACCATAGGTGTTTATTTACAAGGCAGTATACTGACATAGTAGTGAATTATTTAATTCCAATAAAATCATTCAGCGACAGGATGCTTTGCAACACATGTTTAGGAATTTAAAAAAAATTAAGGGGAACTTAGCGTCCGCCGTTGATATGTAGATATTCGACGGCGCTTTAATATCTATACCTTGGCTATTTATTTGCACAATTATATTGCTGCGTCATACGCATCCAAATATTCACAGGACACTGAGATGCTCGAATTGATTTTGCTTTAATATAAGTTTCCTTTTTTCATTACATATAATAATGTATGTGGCATTATGTATTATCTACAAGACTAAAACGCCATTGGTTTTAGTAAATGCCTAGGGTTCAAGATCGAACGCGATGCCGACCTTGTGGCCACCTGCATTAAAGTTTTGACCGTCGATGGCCGCAGACAGAGTTAGGGTTACACCTGAAAAAAATGTTAAGTAAAATTAATAACACAAGTAAAAATTTTGAAATACTAAACATGTTATTTGAGTTATAGCAATGTATTCATAAGAACATTTGTTTAGAACTTATTTAATATATAGTAAATACCTATTTTGAATTGTATGAATTTCAAAAGCACTAAATTATGCATATGCTGTATCATACATATGTATTTTTTATGTTAAGATGTATTATAATTGACAGTTTTTAAAGCCTCCACTCACCTGGGCGTAGTCTCTGTTGGTAGCCAAGTCCGATAAGAGACTTGTTGTTGATCTTAGCATGCAAAGATGCATCCTGGTCAAGTGCAAACTTGGCACCAACTCCAAAGAGTGTGTCAGAGGATCCGGCAGACCATTTCATGCTGACACCGCAGTCAATCTTGTCTGACACCTTCTGGTATATAGAACCACCAAAGTCCTTTCCATTGTCACTAATAATTATAAAATAACAATGCTAGTTATTTTCGCTGGAAATGTTCAGAATGATATTCTGCTAATCCATTTCAACTATAATCTCAAATTAGTAAGTTGTTACTAAGTAGTTTGTGTATTTTATTACCACTGCTATGTGTTCTAAGAAACAAGGAAAACTATGTTAGCATAGAAGCAAAAATTGATTGTGATTAGTGGAGCTAATGTCAGCACGTACAATTGTTATTAAAACTGTTATTTAAAAAAACTGTGGTATTTATATTGTTCTGCACCTATAGCATGAAAGCTTGTACATGATTTATAACTGGATGGCCATGTTAATTAATATACATGGTTATAACAGCAATCACTTGGATTTTTTAAAAGACTTTTGTTTGGACTAATATGGCATAAATAAGTAGGGATAAAAAGCAACAGTAACTAATCTTGCAAAATGCAACCTTGAAAGATTAGCCACATTCATCATGCTGCACTTTCCTTAAGTTAATTTTTATATATGTGATATATTGTCATGTTGGTATTCAGTTTTTTATTTATAGTAATTTCTTTTATTTAAACGACTGATAATGGAGTGAAATTAATTTTTAAGATGCATCTTAAATAAATCTTTTCAACTTCAAGGGAAACCCTGTAAAATGAAAGTAAAACTTATTTTTGGCAGTAAATACTTACACATTTGTGTGCAAAGCAAAATCACTTGTATGGTAACCAAAAGCAAAGTTGTTCTTGCTGATTTTGCCCTTCTGTGTATCAAATTGAGCGTTGGTACCAGCAAGCCAGCCTTGGTACTTGAGAACAGCTGCTACATCCACAATGGGTCCAGCCATATCTAAATCCAGGTTAGTATTAACAGCTACAGTATCATTGGCAAAAGAGGTCTTCAGTTTGCCAGTCTTGCTCCTATGGAAGTACATTATATACATTTATTTCATTTTATAATTTCTTAAGCGATATTTAGGCATACATATCCAGTACAAACAAAATTTGTTTTCTTTATTTTCAGTTTAAGTTTTACATAGTAACTAGGAATTTTCAGTTTTTGGTCATTAATGCAGGTCATACCAGATTATGCTTTTTAGCCAAGAAGGAACCATTTTAGTTCCGACTTTAATGGTATTGCAGTTTTTTTATTCATTTATTAAAATTTACTATACTTATAAGACAGTATTCTTACAAAAAGAGTATAATTTACCCAGTTTGTGGTGCAAAAGTACCCTCAAGAGTAACTTTCATGCCAGCTGCAATCTTGTCTTGGATAGTGATGTCGGTGGCAAGTGTATTATCTGTGTTCCATTTTTCTGTGAAAGTTAGGCCATACTCCTTCACTGAATATTTTGATGAAAGGCTACCAAAGACCTGAAACAATATTCTATTATACAAGACATAAAAAATGTAATCAGATCTCTAATCTGATTACAATTTATCTCTATGAGAGCCTTTAAGTATTGTGATAAGATTTTATTTATGTAATACTTTTTGGAGAATGTATAACAAAAAATCATCTTTTTTAATTAAATAGGTTAACCAGGCAGCCATCGTAACAATACCACCACATGTTGATCAATACTGTAGCCAAAGACAATGTTGCAGATTTTAAAAATTAGCTGAATGTTAAGCAATTTGTAAAAAAAATCTAGTTTTAATTAACAATAAAAATTTTATATTAATTACTGTTTTTTTTTGTAATGTCATTGCAGTACCTATCTGTCCCTCTTGGATCAGACAAGGTGTCATTTACTTACTGTAGAAAATAATACAGTAGTCTATAAAACATTGAATTTGATAAATTTTTATGTCATTACACAATTCTCCATCAAAAAACCTTTTTTTTACAAAAATACTCTAGACCTATTAATTAGCATAATTATCACCTTGCCACTCTCTTGATTAGAGACGATACCACTGCTAAATTCTACACCAGACTCACTCTTGGTTTTCAAGTCAAGTTTGAACACACCAAAGTGGTAGCCTTTGCTGAATACATCATTGGCCTTCTTGCCAAGATCAGCATAGAATGGGGGTGCCATTTCCTGAAAATAAATTGTGTTACTTTTATTGTCTTTGATATTTTCTAAATATTTATACAGAGGCGTTTTAGCTATGGTAGTCATTCATCCGTGATGATCAAAAGCAAGCATAAGTTGATGTCAAAATCTTAATAATTTAATATTTAAAACAGACGAATTTATTGTACAGTTCAAAAAATATCTGATTGTCAATAACTACAATAGAGAGAACCAATATTTATATAAATTTATTGTTTTGCGCTATTCGTGACAGTACAGACTGCAAATTTATAGGTGTCACTCAATAACGGTATTACATAACCCACAAGTAGTATTAGAGGTCCGATCACTTAATGTTTGAAATTTTGTTAACTCCTGGCCAATCGATGAATAAATAAATAAGAAAGTCATACACAGTGACGGTAAACTTGACCGTACGCCAAAAGATTTTATATTGGCATTAATATCGCATTGAAACATTGGTTATGCATCACCTTAAAAATAGTATATGGCATGAAAATCTTGAAAATACTATGGAATTGTCATCGCCAAGCATATTCTAAGCAAAATGTTATTAAGTTAAAATAAAGAAAATACAAAATCACGAATAATCACGTGTATGACGTCAATTGCTCCCCGGCTAATTGTTACAGGACCCTAAGAAATTGACTTTTCTAATTTAAATAAAAACTAAAAAAGGAACTGTGCATTACTTACTGTTTTAATTAAATTGATTCACTTGCTGAAACTAGATATAATACTGAATTTTGCGAATTCTTAGAAATAACTTCACCTTCTGCACCAGCCCCACACCACAAGACAATTCTATAAAATAGTGCTGTAGTGCCCGATTATGGATGATTCCGTTCGAATTACTCGACTTCGTAAATCTTTCGACTCATTCGAATGACAGAACTAAATTATAATATTACTTGTCTAAAGATCGTGTAAATTAATAAATAAAATAAAGATATTAAATTAATAACTTGTGAAACGGTTATAAACCAACACTATATATTATATTAAAGAAATAAAATTAACCATGTTTAATAAATATTGGTTCATCTTGTATCAATTCAGTTTTGTTCTCTATACTGTTCACGTTCACGATAAGGCAAATATTTGGAGTGAAATTTTTTGTAGTGTTAATAAAAAAAGTAGGAAAATTATATTTTAAACTCATAGTTGTAACACTTGGCTGAATTCATTAGTAGTTGATTGCTTATCACGCCAGTTCGTTATAATAATTCTTTATAGAGAGTTGATACTAACGATTAATCGCATTTTCAGAGTAAACATAGTTTATTCGAATGAAATGATTATTTGCAATCGCCTAGAGGGCGCTTCACTGCGGAAATTTCGTTATTGGCGTTATTATAGTTGTTTGTAATTTAACAAGTTTTAGTAAAAAAAATTTTTATAATATGATCAAATATTTTATTTACATATTACCGTATGAATTAAACTTATGAAATTGTGATAATTACATATTGCAATAATAAAAAGATATAATTTGACTTTGTTCATGCATTGCTGCCACAGACCTTTTATATTGTATATATATTATAGAGGTCATTTATTAGTACGATTTGCTTTTTCGCTATTTTCTTTGTGATCTCATTCATTCATTCATTACAGCCCTTCACAAGTCCACAGCTGAACATACGCCTCCTCCAAGGAATACCACAAAACAGGGTATTGAGCCACCCTCATCCATCGACTTCCTGCATATCTTACCAGGTCGTCACTCCATTTAGAGCCACTTGAACTTACTAATCAGTGATATAATCTATTAAAAATATTTTAAGTTTAAATGAATTAAAAAATACATTCAAATACTTATAGTAAAAAGTGTATCATAAATTTATAACCGGTGCGTTAAATATTTAAACTTAATGGGATTATTTTACATTAAGTATTTAAATTATAATAAAAAACAATCCTTCCTTTACAAAAGGTCTCAGGTAAAAGTTGTTTTAATTTATACTTGGTTGATCACTAAATCAATCGGCGGGGTCCGGGGGACACGAAATATTTTAAAATTTTATGGACGCCTCTCAGACGGCCAGGAACGCCAGGATGCCTTACGAATGAATTAACCGCATTGAAATTCAAAGTTTATGAAAAATAATTCAAAAAGAACTTAAATTTTTTTTTGAAATTAGAAAGCAATTTCTATAACTTTTGTGGATTACTTATCCAACAGTATTTATTAATTAAGTATCTAATTTAAAAATTATTACTAATGTGATAAATTCTTAATATATAAATTATTCATAATAAAATATTCCTTAACCCAGGCTAGTTATGATAACCACCAAAAAAACAAAGAAGAGATCAGACGCAAGAAAGAATGTGAGAGGTGATGTCGGGAAAAAATAAAGTCCGATCTACATTGTACGAACAGGCTGAAACTAAAGAAAGAGAACATTATTGAAAGCGAAAAGAAGAGAAAAAAAATCATACCTATTGATCAAATGTTAAAAAGAAAACAAAGAAAACAGAAATGAATGGCGTAAGAGGTAAAAAATGTGGAAAAAATAGAAAATGCAGGGATAGATTTTTATCCCGTTTGCGAGATAATACACCAACTTCAAGTGATATTGAAAATTATCCAGTTTCGGTTAGGCATTTTCCTAGTGTTTCAAACATACATTCTCCTCCAGTCTCATGCAGACGATCTCATTCTGTCTCAAGCCATCTTTCGTCTGCCTATAGAGATACATCTCCGCCTGTGATGAAAAATTACTTGCCTAGGATACTTGATTTACCAAGTAATTGTAGCAGTAAGTACAACATCATACTAAAAGAAGACTGGATTGAAGACTGCAAAACGTAATAGATACGTTTTTATAAGAAACTGAAACTTCAAGAAAAGATGATTTCAATTCTGAAAAAGAAGGTAAACGTTTTAAGAATTAAAGTGAGCAGAGAAACAGTATCAACGATTCTTGAACAAAATAACAATGTTACAGAAAAGCAGAAACACGAGCAAAATATCATAAGCACTCACGCCTGTTACCCAGAGGGGTAGGCAGAGACTACAAACTTCCACATGGCACGATCCTGACACACCTCTCTCGCCTCTTCTACATCCATATACCTACGCATACATGCTCGTCAGTTAAGGGTACTCTCAATTTGGCCCCTTTTCAATAGATCGCTAATTTGGTGGCCAAACTTTCATCTAGGGCGTCCCTTACCGACTCTGCCGTTCACTTCTGCAACATAAATTCGCTTTGTCACTTTTTCCTCATTCATTCTTTCTACATGACCAAATCACCGAAGCATACCTTTCTTAATTCTCGTCACAACATCATCTTGCAAACCACACTCTTCTCTTATTACACAATTTCTCGCCCTCAGTCAGTCAGTCACATTCAGCCTTCGTTCAGCTACTCCTAAACGACCGCATTTCTACTGCGTTTATTCTACTCTAGTGCTTCTTCTGGAAAATACAATTAAAGAAATGAAAAAAAAAAACAAGGTAAGAAGGTTGCTGTTGTAAATTTCTTTGAGAACGATGAGAATATCGCAACAAAAGCATGATTTACATTTTTAGCAAACTCTTGTCTAAAGTTTTTAATTTGCAAAAAGCTGAACGGTCCTAGTCAGCCCCTGGTCATGGCAAAGGAGCACCGGATAATGTAGGCGGTTAGTATAAAGAACTGCCGATAGATTCGTTTCCCAAAGAAAAGATATTACAGATATACAGAATTTATTTCAGATGCTATGTTCACAGGAATCAAATATTACATACATGTTAGTACACGAACGAAAGTGATATTGTACTAACTGACTCTATCGTTGCCAAGAATTTAAAAACAATTCGAGGAATAATGAACCTATCATGTCTCTTGGTTGAAGGAGGAAGACAATTCCATATTTTTAAGACGACTTAGCTTTGATTATTATCATTATGGAATAGAGATTGTTATCATTATGGAATAGGAAAGTATATTTATACACGAAGTGTCATCGATGAAGAATCTTTTCTAGTTCTGAAATCTAACATAGTGTCAAAAAATACTATGATATTAACTCAAAAACGTAACATATCTGGCAGATCTCAAATAACAAATGCAACTGGGCTGTGATTAAATCTGTCTGCAAAAAGACAGAAGTATTTTACATTGTTCAAATTGTCACCGCACTGGATTCTAAGTATTTGATCAAGTTTTTGAGAAAGAAAAAGTGTAATGATAAGTACACGGAGTTCGTTTAGCCACAGTGTGAAGATATTTAGGATGTCAATGATGAAGATATTATTGCTATTTGACCACAACCACATTGCGGGCGAAGAAATGTAACATACCTACTTAAAAATAATTTGTTACGTTCATTCTCTCATCTTCGCTAAAATTATTCAATGAATAAGATTCTTTGCAGTGTTTGATTTTTTTCTAAGGCTGATTAAGTTATTAGTACTACTTTTTATTAATTTATTATGGTTTATAATAATTTTAAAAGTCTTAGATACTTTATTTTGTAAAAGTTTCGCAAAGTTTTATGCTAACTAAATAATAATGATTTAATTACTATTAAAAGGTTGTCTATGTGACCAAATAAAAATGGAATAAAAGACTGTTGACCGACTTGTGTTCCTATAAAACATATTTTTAAAATTATAATTAGTATATTATTAATTAAGCGTAATTACATACTTAAAAAAAACTGAAAGTAAATAAATACCAAACTGATTAGATGAATAAATATAATAATAAAAAAATATCGTTTTATTTGTTAATAAATCATTCATAGTTTATTGAAATTATACAAATATGTACCGTGGAGGTGTGTAACTTTCGTAGATAGATGTTTTCATTTTCACTTTTTTTTGTGAAAACTATTGTGCAAATAGCGAGGCTTTTATGTGTTTCGTAATGTAAGATAAAATATCTTTCATTTGAGACTATTTTGACAAATATCAAAAGAATTTTAGTCTGTTTTTGAGAATGGCTCGAGTATTCAATGCATTCGAACCAAACGGCTTGCTTCGTTTTTTTAATGAATAACTTGGTAGCGTTATCCGAAGCAGGAATGAATTTTAGAATTAGAAAGAATAGTAGGCTTCTGTTACTTTATCTAGGACTTCATCACCGCTTAAGACCAGGTTAGTGAAGCATTGGCATAAAAAAGTAATAAAGAAATATCATTGTACTAAAAATTGAACCATAAGATTTTGTGTGTATTATTACAAAAGTGTATTAAGGCAATAATGATGCATGCACAATGAGTATGATATGGTGAATCCTATAAAGGAAATTATATAGTTACATGAACACATACATTTTCTGTGCCGTTCTCTCCGCCATATTCATTTTCCTGAGAAGGACATTCAACTCGTTCGCCATATTCATTCTTGCATACGATCTTTTGGCCTAAAGAGCCATCCTGTGGATATAATTTTTAAAACGTTAAAAGCGAAACAAATCACTATTATAACCAATATTAAAAATAAACTGTTGATGACACTTTTTCTGATGTACATCTTCTTTTCCTCCCGCAATTATGGAACGAAACTAAAGCGGGATAAATTTAGATCAAACAACATACATCCAACCTCATAGATATTTCGACGAATATTGGCCACTAGGCATGGGTAGGGCGTTGACAAACCAGCCAAACGTGGTCCTTAGCTGCCGTGGCGTAGTCACTCACGGTAAATTATTAGGAACCCACATTATGTTGAAGGATTTTGGTGAGTGAAGTGACCTTTATTGTCGCAGACGAGGTAAAATCGCGAAAGAAAAGGAATGCTGGTATGGCGATGCTCCACTCGTCCTACCCTCGACTCTGGTGGGGCCTTGCTGCTGTTACAGTGGTGGCGGGACAAAAACGAATATAGATATTACGATGCACCACTCTTTTTATCCTTCGAGGTCAGAACTCACATTGTTGGTTGGGGTCAGAAAGGTTGGTGCTTCCGAGTGCTAGTTTTTTGGGGGAGTTCCTTGCGCAGGTGGAGTTCGAAGCCGTGGATTTAAAAGATTTAAAAACCTACCTCATAAAACTAGAAAGAATAAAACTATATCCACATTATTTAATAGCTTTTAAAGTCGGAGCAAGTAAGCAGAAAGTGAATGAAAGAATTAATGTCCCGATTTTAGAAGTTGAAATTCGAAAAATGGATACTTATGAATTTAGAAGCTATTGTAGAAACTTCTTATTCTTTTTAATGTTTTGAAGTCGGTTTTAATTGCTTAAATATTTCAAAATATTAATGCTGTCAAAAGGCAACTGTAATATTTTTTCATGAATTATTTTTCATGGATTAATTAGGTCTACATTTATATAGTGAGAATTACTCACTTCACGAAGGCACGGTAGAGTTTCTTGTGTAATTACTGCTAAAACTCTTGGGAATTTTAAACTTTGATAAAAGTCCACAATATACACTTTATAATCAACTCCAAATAAATATTCAAAAACTGACATAATTGACAAAAAAACCAATAAATAATATTTAATGGCTAATATTTTTTAGTTTTCGTTTGACAATGCAGGGTACCTAGATCATCTAAAATTTTGAATTAAATAATTCCGTAAGATTTTTTGTTCCCATTTATGACAGTGTTATAATAGTTTGATTTTACGCCCGGTAGCGCAGGGGTAACGGCTCGGGCAGATTTCAGGCGGCGTCATCTTAGAAAAGAAGACTCAACTCCCCAGCTGCAAGTAAAAATCTGAAAGTTCTGAAAACACAGATAATCCTGCACAAACTCGTCATGGGGTTATGGGTAGGAATA